AAAAAAAAAAAAAAAAAATAGTTTCAGAGAAAGGGGAAGGTGACTCGATGTTTTCGTCGTTAATTGGAACGAAGCTCAGGGCCGGTTTGATTTCACAGTCACTTTTCACGGAATGACGATTTAAGGGGATCTCTAATTGACCGCCAGAAGGGCCATCGAAGCAGTTAAGGGGAATGAATTTACGAGGAGGGTAGGGGAAAGACACGTTGCGACTCATAGAAACGAGCGAGGTGTGCGATTAACGTTTCGCTTTCCAGTTTTCACGGGGCCACCGCGGTGAAAAGAACTTACCTATTCCCTCTATGGAGAAAACGTTTCGTACGAACAATCGAACGAATCTGTATCCTCCTCGTATCGTTGAAACGATGTTATCTCGTGTACCTTTCGATCTACGAATCATCGATTTTACACGAACATTTTTAAACGAAATTGACACGTCGAATAAAATGTAATTAGAAAATGTAATTTTTAGTGAACGCACAAGTGGCATCGAAATGTTCGAAATGTTCCTTCAGCGGAGAGGTTAAAACGACTAGGTTTTTGCGCGATAATAAACAGGAAATAATAAAAATGAAACCGATGGTATCTCTTATAAGGGAATACGGCGTTGAATTGTGCAAGAGAAAATATGTGGTTTCACCGTGAAATGAATTCTATATTCTACGTGGAAGCCGATATTAAGCCTGCAAAGATCAAAGATGACGGGGTACGTTATTTATTTTGATATTTATTTATTTATTTTTTTTATTTATTAGGAATTTATCGTACTCGTACTCTTTTTCCCATCTAATGTTTTTTTAATTATTTCATCGTTGAATAACACGCTTGCGTGTTATTTCGCATTTGTTCCATCTATTCAGTCGTAACTTCGCTGTTGGAAGAAAGCATGGTGGGAAACATGCTAATGAAAAAGTTCCACACGCGCCACAAGTGCATCTAAGATCATAATAAACACCAGAAGATACAAGTGAAACAAAAAAGTGAAACTTTGTAAGTAACGATTAACGGTGTGCTACCTGTATATGCGATGCGTTTACTCAAGTTCCTCGACAGTGAAATAGAATAGTGGCTTAGAAACCGTAAAATTACCCGCATCACGTGTAATTTAAATAACACTTTACGATTTCGCTTTTACATGTTACGTCAGTACGATAAAACTTTTTGTTTCCTTCGTTTTAATTCTTTAAATCGAAAATTCTCTCTAACGTAAGAATTATACAATATCCAAAACTTTTGTTTTAAGACGATTAATCGCGTTTAAAATAAACAAATTAATTTTAATTAATTTCAAATACGAACGATTATTTAAATATATCGTTAAAATGTGTTTATTGAAAATCAATCGTGTACATTCATTATTAATAGGGAAAAAAAAATTGAAATTTTTTTTTTAAACAACTATCTCATTGCAATCTTATCAGTTTATCATTGATTAAAATAACAAGATAAAGTTCTAACATTGGTTGCGAACTCACAAACGAGTTTTAACGGTTAGGTTAACATTTTATAATTTCGTGTCGTATTAAATTTTTTAACGACATCCTATAGATACTTTTATCTATTTCATAGAATATTGTTAAAATGTTTCCGCGATAAATTTTAAATTTCTAAAAAATTTTTATTCAGATCGCAAACATCGGTATATTTATATTCGTTCGTTAGTTTCAATCCCTCTTCCCCCTCTCCCTTCCAAAAAGAAATCAAATTTATCGCGAATTCGCTGCAACAAAACGATAATGATAATAATAAGTATAACACAGCAATCAACAAGTACTTGAACTTGACCCAATAAATAAGATAGCGCGATCTTTTGCATAACTTTTAATTAAATTGAAAAATTATATCATCGATCAAATCACAATTAAGGGTGCATCTAGGCGCACACGTATGGAAAACGTGTGGCGTGTTGTGTATTGCGCGAGTGTAAATCAAACACGTTGCATCCGGTTCGTGTATCCCGCTCTGTACACGCGCCGTGCGGCAAAGGAATAATAATTTTCTTCTCTTCCCCTGACGTTTTGTTTTCTGTCCCTGCGGCTGCCACGACCAGACCGGAAGCTTTATTATCGCGCAGCTCGTTGCGAGTCGTGGGTGGACGCATAACTTAACCATAGGCGAAGATATGTATGCACCTCGGTGCAAATTCCGAGTCTAAGATTCATTTCACTGATGGAAGTCGAAGAAATTTACTCTCTCTCTTTCTTCCTTCTCCACAAATTACTAATTGTGTCAATTTCAGCGAATTGACAATTATATAACGCATAATTCTTTATTGCAGAAAAAAGTGATTACGATTTTGTCGTTGTTTACTTCAATTGACCTTCCGCTATTTCAAGAACAATTTTCTATACTATATTACAATCAACAAATTTCAAAGAATATATATATAAAAATTCAAATTTCAAAATTCAAAGAATATATTTTTTATATTTTTATATTTTTTTATATTTTATCTCACAAGCGAGATGTAAATCATTCTGAAAATTGATTCAAATACTTCGACTACAAGTGAAAAGAGAACGTGTACTTCCAACGAAAAAGATGAAAATAAAATAAGCGTGAAGTTGTTCACGTGATAATATCGCTCGTCCACGTCGAATCCTAACCAAACTTCATGGCTATACAGATCGCGTGTGTCTAGTAATCGTTCGAAAGGTTCGCGACAAACGTGAATTATTTGCATGACGCACAACGATGTACGCGGCGGTCTTAACTAGATGCAAAGTGGTATAATTCAGTGGCGAGCCGAAGAATTTATGATCGCTCCGGGTTCAATTATTTCTTGCGTTGTGTCGTCGAGGCGAGCCTATTAAACGGGACGTCTGTCGTTCAATAGCCACTTCCGTGCGAAAGTTCACGCCGCGCCATCATTCTTCTTTTCCTGTAAACAGATTATTCCTCCCTGGCGCACGCTTCGAGCCACGGCTACTGTCCATGGACTTGTGTATTCTGCCAATCATGTTCATCCGCACGATCATGTGGAACGACGTTGATCGATTGTGGACCCCTTTCGCCGTTCTTTTCGATGCCTCGTTTGTACACGCACGTCTTATTTTCACAGGATAACGAAAATCCTGCACGATTCATTACACGACAGGTTGGCCAATCCACTCGTTGTTTAAACTCATTGCGCCTTGTAACCAATGAGTGTCCTCGGTCAGGAGGATTTCCTGTCAACGATGAGAATTTATTTGGGTGCATTAACCGAAATTGAAAGTACTTACATACTTTATACATCCGTAATTCCGAATCAATTTTTACTTTCTCTTTAATTATGCAAAATCATATCCAATCGCAAAAATATGTTCGATGAAAAATTCGTTTATTCTCGTTTCGTTCTTTTCTACGAATTTTCACGCACAACGTCTTAATCCGTGGCTGGATCGTTTCTCCGTTGCATAAACAAACGGCGCATATAATCGGCTGCAAGAGGCTAAAAGTATCGTTAAATACCGATCAACCTCATTAACGTCATCGAACGAGGTGGACAGTGATCGATTGCGCGGCGTGTACTCGTACTGTTCGGCAGTCGCGCATGCATAATCGCGTATGCGCGGGCAGCGGCGCATGCGCTTTCGATCGATCGATAAATTATACAGTCTATTGCTCGTGTACGTAAATCATGCGCGCACTACCCTTTGCTTTGTTCGCTGTTTCATCTTCTTTTTCCTATTCTCCCTTCTCCCTCCTTCTCATTCGTTCCTTCTTCTTTCTCTCTTATCATCCGTCTCCGATGTTTCCGCCTTTTCGTCTTTGTGTCATCGAGCCTGAGACACATCCATGCGCGGCCAACGTGATCGCCGTGACTCGCATTGTACTCGCTGCGTCTTCATTGTTCCGGTCGCACGGCACGGGAATATCGACACCGTCTAATGTCTCGATGACGAACCATTCGATCGTGTCTTCGCACATTGTTACGAAGATAGAAGGTGAATTCATAAGTATACCTTTTATACCATCCACGCGTATTCACCTTTGTAATCCATCGACTCGAATCAGCTGATTTTCCGAAAATTCATCGTATCTCTCGGTCGGTCATCGAACTCTGTGGAGGGGGATATCTTCCACGATGAAAGTATCAAAATTACATTAAAATTCGATGTAACCAGTTGCGTTATCGAAAGTATTCGACTTTCTGCCTCGATTATTCGTGGAAGGAAACCGCCCACGAGAAAAACCGTGCGTTATTAACGGCGTTACGAGTAATCGGAGGACGCTGATTCATGCGAGAAGAAAGACCGCGTGCGGACCCTTACACTGAGTTGATCTTCCGCGCTTTTTCTGTATTCCATCCGTCGCCGTGTCCATTGAAATGCCATCGAAGTCGCGTTTCGATAATTGTAAAGAGATGCAAAGAATAACTCGAATAAAATTTCTTCGTGATGCGTTTGTTGCGGTGTTCGATTGTTTCGTGTATTTATAGAATAAAGAAGGGATTTTTTTTTTTCTATGATTTCTTAATCTTGCTGCGTCGAAGAGAGATAGAATTGTCCTAGAAATTGTGATTCGTTTCATCGAGCAAATATTTCCCACGGAAAGAACGTTTTATTGCCCCTTTTAAGTGAAGTCATTAATGAAAAGTATTTCACTGAAATACATTTAGCCGGTTATCAAGGACAATCCGTGCGGCTTGTGGTTTTATCGAGATTTTTTTTCCTTTTTTTTTTTTTTTCTTTTCGAAAACCACAATTTCTCGTGACCGTATTCCTCAGGAAGCGGCGTAGACTTCCTACAATCTTCTTATTGAATAAA